ACCAAGGTTCACGAATACCTTGGTGAGAAGGATTTTGGTGCCGCTATTCTATTTTCTGTATAACCTTATTGTTTCCATTTGGTTTATCATTTGAGTGAACTGCCCTTTATATACTCATTCAAACCTTTTCATGCTTTTAAATTTCATATTTTAATTATGATTGATGCTAGGGGTGGGCACACAATATTGTTGCTTACAATCAAGATCCATGATATACATCAATGATTTTTTTTATAAAATATATGTAGTAATATTAATTAACCATTTAAAAAATTGGTTGTTGCAACCTGCTACACGAACAATATCTTCCCAGAGTTTGCAAATTACAGTACATTGGTCCACATTGGATTTTGCAAATGCAGACCATTTCCACACAAAGTGGAACCCTTTTTGGAACCAATTAATCCTCATCAGCCACCATGTGACACAAGTACAATATTTTTAGCAGTCCGATGATAAAGTTTTTTTTTTCTCTCAAATTAACTAACTGGTTAAAACAAAGATCAATTACATTTTTTGCTTCATGATCAACCCATTAAATTGAGATGCACTGAGACAGATAATTGACAAACAAATGAGCTATACAGACTGCTCAGATGTTATGCAGACTAAAATTGCTTTGTTTCACATGGATATATATTTGTTGTAGTACTGTTGTAGCCTCGGAACATGCAGGGGGGAGTTACACAAAGCAAGATTTATCAGTTAGCTAGATGATTTAAGGCAGAAGTCATGAATCAAGTCAAGTGACTTTTTATTGTCATTTCAAATACAGTAGACAGTCTTGACTTTTGGCTTAAATTATCCAGAGGCCAGTTTCAGAGAGCAGGATTTCTTGCTTAGCCAGAAACCTTCTTGTTAAGATAACCCAGTTTCAGTGGATTTTATCTTTGTTCACTTTATTTTAGCCCAGTCTACCTTAAATGCAACAAATTATCTGGCTATGCAAGAAATCTTACTTTGTGAAAAAGGCCCCAGGGGGTGTTCCATGAAGCATGGGGGGTATTCCCCAAAGCAAGAATTCTCAGTTAGCTGGGTTTATTTAAGCTAGAAGTCATGCTCGTCCAATAAGAGTTTAGGTAAGGAGCATTCCTATTGGACAATCCGGACTCCTATCTTAAGATAACCCAACTAACTGAGAAATTTTGTTTTGTGGAACGCCCCTCAGGTGTCACATGATAGGCTCTTGCCACTTTTTCTGTCGTTAAGTAGTGTACTTGTAACTGGGTATTCATTGAAAGCTCAGTCTAGCCGCACTTATGCGTTGACTCCTCGATATCACGTATGTAATGTACTATTTGCCTTAATTGTACGTAGCTTTTTTACAATAGCGTTTGCTAAATAAATGTAAATATAGTGCTATATTTGATTCTTATATCTCTGAAATGTGTGTCATAGATACAACTATAACTGGTTACGATAAAAGATACCATATCACCTACCACTAACTCACACTATTGAAAAGTTGATACACTCAAAGAACAGTATTCAGGTATAGTTTACTTATTTATAAAAAACACATACTGCCTGATTTTGTCATAGTCTTTCTCGCTTGAATATTGTAGAACCTTAGAGAATTTTAAGAAGTTATGCATCTCCAAGTGTCAACGACAGTAATTATACTGCGGCACTTTTGAATTATTGAATCTGAACGCTGTTGATTCATTTAGTATAATCACACACATAGTGCCAGCCACACAAATCGCACTAGTAAATCAGTGCACCATTATATTCTATAATTATAACTAATGGTACTTAATGGAAGGTCAGTATCCAGAAATAGATTTTGGGGGGGGGTGGGGGTCTTGTCTGTAGATTTAGAGTGGAGGGTTCCCCTTGGTAGATTTTTTCAGAAACTGGGGGACAGTCCCTCTCGGTACATTTCGCTCCCCTCGGTAGATTAGAATATTTTATTATAAAGCTGATATATTTTTCTCATCACCAGCCTCCCCTCTTAGCAAATTGTATTGGTAACAGTCCGGTAGCCAGTCCACGAAATGTATTCTGGGAAACTGAGCTAAATTTCTCATAGAACTGAATTGTGTCGTGTTTTTGGAGAGGTGGGACAGTGTGTAAGGGAGGCTTGTAATAATATCTGTGCTGTTCTACAGTATAACAAAAATTGCTCTCTGACGAGGTCTCTCAATCATTTTCATGTTCAGATGGAAACTATATTATGCAATCGTTTAGTTACATTCGTTTCAAACTCAAAGCCCATGGGCCACATCCAGCCTGTGATACAATTGTATCCACGTGATAATAGCTTATGTCAATCAGAACTGGCCGGTCAGTATATAGCACGCATATCACTGACACTACCAATCCCAGATTGCTCAGCGATAGCTGGCATGTTGGCAGGATAAGCAAGGTAGGGCTGCACCATAGATATCGTATGCTGCATTGGGCATTATACTTAATTTTTTTAGTACATAAGACACTGTATACATTTAAAATGAATTAACTTTTATTTTAAAAATGATAAATAAAATTACACCAAGGTAGCCATTGTCCATGCAGTGAGAAAATAGGACATCCTTAGAAAAAAAATACAAAGTTCGTTTTTAAAAGAATTACTATTTACTATCTACAGGAGATCGGAAATATATCATTTTTAATTTCACCTAGTATTCTGTATCATGAATACGCGTCTGACATTGGAAACAAACCAAACTGCTTGTAAATCAGTTGCGCGATATTATATCGCGATGTACTTGTGATTATACGGCGCATGCGCCTTGATCACCAAGGCTTTAGTTGACGGGTCTAATGTTTGTCCGGACCGGACGGCTTTCCGGTACTGTATGGACGTTTCCTTATGCCCACAATTTGATAAGCAATTTAGTAGTTCACCTAAAATATTAGTAATCTGTATATATTAGGCATATCTTTATGTTTAATAATTGTGGGACTTTAAACTAAAAAAAATATCGCCACACTGCCGACGCCTTTTTATCTTGTTTATCCACAGCATACGTCCTCTTTTAAAAGATGTGCCTGTTCAGCTGTCGCTTTCTTCACTGCCACTTCAGTGCTTATCGCTTCCATAATGTACCAAAACAGTACCATGTGGCGTGCTCAAATTTAAGACTGTTTTTCAATAAATATTAACCTGGTTTGGCCCTCAAATTCAACCAAGTTTTTAATTTTGCCCCTTCTGTGTTAGGGGATAATGGATATTATATCTGAGTGTTTATTATACAGGGATACAAAAAACTGGGAAGCAGAGAGCATGCAAGACCAAATTCAGCACTACAGGATGTTTAATGTTGATGAGTGTTTTCAAGCCAGGTGTGATCTCCATTCTTTCTCCTACCTTATTCCTTGTGCAGTTGTTCTTGAGCAGGACGCTGAATTGGATTCAAGTAAATGCCCTGTTGCTAAGCAGGGACTGATTATACTGTGTTGGGCAAATGCTGTGTTTGATCACTGCCAGGCAAGAACGAGTCATTGGCTTAATTACTGTCAGTCCACAGTGGATTTCAACAGCAAAGTGCAATTCTAAATTTCTTTGCCATTTCTTTTATACATGCATTGAATACTTTTGAGGCACTTAAAGGAATAAAGTGCTTTTTTGACAATGATTGGGTAAATATGAGAATTTTAAGATAGCATTTCCTTCATTGAACAAAGAATGAAAACCTTGCATAATGGGGAGTTGTTGCACTTTTGTGGGCCCAAATGATAAGGGATCCACCATCACAATGGACTGTTAAGTGGACGTACCAGATCTAATGAAAATGATCATTTTCCTTGGCACAATGCCAAATGAGAAAACAGTGTTACAGTCAAAAGAAGCAATCATTTGAAACCTATTAAAACCAAAAATACAAGCAGGACAGGTCCCATCTACAGCATTCTCCCAACAAGTAAATGCACAAGCTAATAAAATAAAGACACAAACAAAAAAAAGTAAGATTTTTGAAATCTGAATTTCGTGCTACTTCAATTGACAGGCCACATCTGTGAATTTAAACATACATTTATTTCAAACCCTGTCTGGTTTGATACATGGTTAGAAGGGACAGACGGATGGATGGACAAAGATGATTCACATTTGATTTCCTTAAATAAGACTGTTTTACCAGATTTCTTTTTTTACTTATAATTAGTTGTTTGTTTTAATATTGCACTTGCAGTTATTTAAGGGGCTTGTGTATTATGTACATTTTTAAACCAGGTTATGGTTCATGAATTTCAGTACATTTTCAAACCATCCGTCTTTAATATCCATTTTCTAAAATAACCTCAGCCACAATGAAGATGCTGTGCGGAAGTTTTTTCGGTGGTTTAAAAATATACTTCTGTTTTCACTCACTCTGTGCTATTCGTGACTGTAGCTTCCTTCTGCCTCAGGCAATGGAGCTGTCCGTCATTTTGGTACTGATACGTGCTCACTTGGGATGTTTTATTATACACCTTTACGTTTGATAAAATGAAAACACGATGGAAATACAGCCAACAAGGCAGTTTTGTTGGTTCCCTGATGCTTAAGAAGGATTTATTATTTTGGTCGTTCGTCAAGTGAGTCTATAGAAAAACACGCTTTTACTTCCTCCCTGATAAGAAAGCATTTATTTGCAGAAGCGTAATAGCCCTTTGATTAACATTTGCACTTCAGCGTAAGGACCGAGTAAAACACATAGAAACACCGAATAAATAAATGAATAGCACTCATATGAGTATAGCCGTTCTCTAGTTATGGAATTAATTCTTGCTATTTTTGTAGCTGTAACTACAATACACGTGCATGTTAAATTGAAATTATTATTTATCAAATACTGCGATGATAAAACTGATATAGGCCTATAATATTTTGCAAAGATGTAGGGTCGATTGCTGACGCGTTTAACTCCAAGAATGGCGTATTTCGTGCTTAGATTTCCCGATTCCTATTTTTCACTAATAAATATGAGGGAGTGAGCTATTTTTAGGCTGCGCCCCCCCTCCCTCTCTCCCTCCCTCCTCCCCCCCACGCAGGCTCCCTTTCACGCCCGTCTCTCTCGGGACTCGAGCGCAGTTCCTACTCCAGGTAGACTCGAAATTGACGTCAGAGACTTTCGTAATTTGACGTGTAAACATTTTTTTCCTATCCACGGTTTACTCTGTTGCTTTCTACGTTTGTTCAGTAAGGCACAACAGCGTCTATGGTGTCGCTCCTTCCCAGGTGTTGGCAAAATATTATAGATGTAGATATATTTTACATTAATAATAATATAGGTCTAAATCGACAAAGGAAAATATATAGTTGTATTTTGTGGCCTTCATCTGGTTGCCTTTGTAGATACATAAATCAGTATATCTAATATACATATATTTATATATTTTGCAATGGGTGTGCGATGTGGACCGTTGGGGATGTGCTTCGTTTTCGGTCTTCTCTGTGCCGACGCTGCTTCGGTGAACAGGCAGTATATCAACGAATGGGCGGTGGAAATCCCGGGAGGACCCGATGCTGCCCGGGCAATCGCCGAAGAGCTGGGCTACCAACTGGTCAGACAGGTAAGCATGAAATATCCATTATATATTGAATATATCCATTACATGTTTCTATAATCAAGTATGTACCAGGAATAGGGGAGATGGCTTCAATCCCGTTTAAATTGTCCTCCTTAATAAAGCGATGTAAATAGGACTGGTTCTATTTTTATACGAAAATTTATGTTAAAATGTAGGACTTTTCACTTTCCCCTACAAAGACATTAACACTGGCAAATGGTTATGCATTTGCTTACATACGGACGCGGAGCGAATGGACATAGGCTACCGCTGATACATCCCACCATTTTAACTGTATTCATTTTCCAGATTGGTTATTTTGTGTGTTCATGAATCCCTTCACCCGTAAGCTGAATGTCATAAATGTAACATCTGGCTGGAACTTGGTGTACAACTGGGAGGGTTGATTGTGGCAGCAGAAATAAAACGCTGCATACTGACTGAATTCTGAATAATTTGGAGTAAAACATTATCAAAACATTGCCTGGGTGAAATGTCTTTTAAAATAATATGTTATAATTCTGAATTGTGCTTTTCGTTTTTTCCTGAATCCATTCATCCTCTTTTTATAGGACAGAATGCATCCAGATTGCTTTGGGGAATTGCCAGCGTATTGATATGGATCGGAAACGTGATAGCTACTAGTTTTCCATCCTTATTAAAGTGTTCCTCTCTAGCAAATGTCAATCGGTGAGAGGAGAAAGTTATCAAAGGTCATTACATGGTCCTTTTGCCTGTGGCAGTCTCATTTCCTGTAAGCAGTACCACCACCATTAACTAAGATTGCTCTCATTCACCTTTGCTGGTTAATAATAAACATAAAGTCATTTGTCCTGCGTTTTTTTTTTTCGTTCACGATAGCATCAGTGGTCGGAAAACTGATAGGCGGGCAATTTGGTTCTGTTAAGTGATCAGAATGTAACCAAAACTTTGTTCGCTTGGCAATTTAGGCAACGGTTTTGATAAGAAAAACATTTTCCAGGCGCCTGTCTGCAGTAACGCTCCACTAGCGATGTCAGTTTTGTGCTCTTTGGCAGGAAAGAAGACATATGTAAATTTTCGCCTGAATTGAACTATATGATTGAAATATTCACATACGTAGTTCTTCAAGAAAGTATAACAAAACCTTGGAATTAAAACTGTTACTAGTTTTGACAGCCAATGTGAATTTGTAATACGATTTTCCTTAGAATATTTATTTACTTGAAAAGAAAAAAACTTTGGTTGTGCATTTTGTATTACTAATTGAAAATACTACTTTATAATTTGATAATACTTGTGCATGCTCCACAGTTTGTTGATTACTGCTCTGACGGGATTTCTTAATGAGATATTGCTTTCAATGGTTGATCTGTTATATTTTCCAGCTTTTACACCTGGATTTACGTATTTCTTGTCTCTTCGACCCTGCCCTGAAATATTCCCAGAGCAGAAAAAAATAATATAGCATATTGATAGTGTAAAAGAAAAGAAAATAAGAAGACTGGTATTATAAGATATGGTTGAATTCTGTCAGACCTTGATTTCCCCACAAGCACCCCAGTCTTTATTAGACAGGAAGACCTAGAATATCATCTTAATTTCATACAACAAATGCTATGTATGCAGTACCTTATTCCCCTTTTTTTGGGATTTCAGATCGGGGCTCTGGAAAATCACTACTTGTTCAGACACCAGAGTCATTCCAGGAGGTCAAGAAGAAGTGCTGAACATATAACGAAAAGGCTGTCAGAGGATAAGAGGGTATGCTGTGTCTATTCTTTTATCAAAAAACCCTTTTCCTGTAGCATAGACCACTATACAGACATACATACAGAGGTGGCTAGTTAAAGTCCAAAAAGTAAAAATCCAGACTAAGATTCTGTTTCAACTAAAAAGTTGAGTACAAAGAATCGCAGTCACAGAGTACTCAACTGGATGTTGGAAACGAAATGAAATGTTGGTCTGGATTTTTACTTTCTCGACCTGAACTATCCACCTCTGCATACGTACAGGCATGCATTCAGTTCATTTTTATATAGCGCCTTCCACAGCAGAGTCACCCCAAAGCCCTTTACATGGATGTGTTGTGGTGCAGTACAACCTAATTCAGAAAGAATAATAGAGAAACAGGGAAAGGGAAAGAGAAAGAAAGAAAGAAAGAAAGAAAAGCCAAATGACAACAGAGGAGAGGAACCAAAAACTCCCAAGTAGGGAGAAAAAATCTTCTGGCGATGCAAGGTGATCTGGCTGTCCAACCCACTGGTCATGCTAACATTACTGAAAAATTTGCCTCACACCTCTGGGACCAGGGTTCAAGCCTCCGCCCATGACTCTGTATGTGTGGAGTTTGCATGTTCTGTCCGTGTCGTCGTGAGGTTTCCTCTGGTTTCCCCCCATAGTTCAAAAAACATGCTGAGGCTAATAAAGGAGTTACCAAATTGCCCATAGGTGTGCATGTGTCAGTGGATGATGTGTGAGTGGAAGATGTGTGACTGTACCCTGTGATGGGCTAGTGCACCATCCTGGGTTGTTCCCTGCCTTGCACCCGTGCCGGCCGGGGTGGCCTCGAGCCCCCCCTGCGACCCTGACTGGAACAGGTGCTTTTAGAAAACTGATAGATGGATGAATAATAATAATAATCTACCATATGTAATCAAAAATGCATAAATCTGTATATGTCAATCAGAGCTTAGCATAGTTAGCTGTTTTGGTCAGCGAGCAGCATCACACATATGTACCGGTGCTCCAGTCCCTGTCACTCTTGGTAAGAGGAGATGCCCTTGTGTCTGTGTCCTTAGGTGTCATGGGCGGAACAGCAGTATGAGAAGCAGCGCCGAAAGCGGGACCTGCTCAGTACAGAATGTACTGACTGTCCAGTGGAAAACCTCTTCGATGATCCCATGTGGGGTCAGCAGTGGTACTTGGTGAGTCTGCCATGGCTTTGGGGTCCTCCTCCACCACACAGATGTGGATTCTTCTTGACATTATATGTCTTAACATTCTGGCTAGTTTATAACCTTCAGCTCTCATTTATGAGGAAAACATAAGAACATAAGAAACTTACAAACGACAGGAGGCCATCTGGCCCATCAAGCTCGTTTGGGGAGAACTTAACTAATAGCTCAGAGTTGTTAAAATCTTATCTAGCTCTGATTTAAAGGAACCCAGGGTTTTAGCTTGCGCTACACTAGCAGGAAGAGTATTCCATACTCTAACTACATGCTGTGTAAAGAAGTGTTTCCTCATATTCATTTTAAAATGTTCTCCCGCTAATTTCCACTTATGGCCACAAGTTCTAGTATTTAGTATTTAAACTAATATTGAAATAGCAATTTGGCTGAACAATATCCAGACCTGTTAGAGTCTTATATACCTGAATCATGTCCCCCCTTATTCTCCTTTGCTTGAGGCTGAACAGATTCAGCTCAGCTAACCTCTCCTCATAAGAAATTCCTCTAAGACCAGGAATCATTCTTGTAGCCCTACGTTGCACCTTTTCTAAGGCAGCAATGTCCTTATTGAGGTATGGTGACCAAACCTGCACACAATATTCTAGGTGGGGTCTTACCGAGGAATTATATAATCATAGCATCACCTCCCTTGACTTAAACTCCACACACCTAGAGATGTAACCCAACAACCTATTGGCCTTTTTTATTGATTCAGTTTTATTTACATCCTTTTCATGCCTTTGAATATTGAGTATTAAATGTCATTGGGTAGATCGTATGATGAATAGAATAGGACGCAAAGACCTTACTCTGCATATTTGCTTGCTTTGGTTGCTGGATAAATTGAATGCTTCCCAGATCTTCTGCTTCAGACCTTGTACCCTAACCCCACCCTGCACAAGAAACATGTCTAATTTGTTATATTAGTGTTCAATAAGACAGATAGTCTGCGGCATGCCTTCTCGTGACATTTAAAGAGTTATTGCCAAATTCTGAAATGTCTGATTTGAAAACTCTGCCACACAAATTCTATCTTAGACACAATCCTTTCACAGCTTAATTGGAGGTTTGTTTTGGATGCCTTTGGAAAGCCTGGAGTGTTGATGCACCCTTTCGATATCACTAATTTCCTTACATGTCTGCAAACGCCCTTTACCTCTGTCAATTCCTGGTTCTCGATTGACTCTAAGCTCAGCCTTCATTACGTTGTTGGTTCAGTGATCTGAGTCATAGATTATGATGCATCAAAACCATAACTGTCAGACCCATATTTGTCAGGTTATATATGGGAAAATTAGGAAGTACCATTTAGTGCATCTATATTATCACTGCATTAGCTGCTGTGTAATTGAGGGCCAAAAGTATCTACTGGTGATTTTCCGTCTCCTCTTCCAAGAGAGCAGAAGATTTATCTTTTGTTTTCTGGTATATTGTAATTCATTGTTGGGACTGAGAGCAGTTTTCAGATTAATGCACTGTTATTAGTGTGTTTCGGAGTTTCTTTAAGCAGGGCTGCTAACTTTGGGAGTGAACTTTTCAATTGGAGACAAGTCTGCACACACATGCACAGGCATTTACATGTATATAACAGTTTTATTACTCTGTAAATAGTCTGCAGGGTTTGCAGACTACCTTATCATTTTTGATTTAGCTAGTTTTAGGTTTATAATGGAATAATTTAGATTTGCCGCAAGATTTATTGCGTGAGAGTCTGAAAGCTTGAGTGTCATTCCAGATGCGTGCGAGCTGGCAGCCCTGTTTAAAGGCACAGTAACCTCATAATGGAGGAGGAGGAGGGGCTGAAAGTTCTCAGTTTAAGTACTAGCGACCCCACACACTGACTAATTCAATCATGAGTAATCAGAGTATGATTTATTTCTGATTTTTATCAATGTTTTATCATACATTTTATAAATTTTTAAATGCCTGGCTGTATAGGTGAAGAGCCACCTGGTATGTAATGTAGCTCGGCATGCATTAACCCTTACTTGGCAAAGTAAAAGGTAAAAGTCAGGCGCAGTGCCTTTTAAGCAGCAAGCATGAGCGTGAAAGACCTGGACGCATTTTGGAACATTACCGCTCATGTGATGAGGGAGCCAGAGCTAATGCAAGGAAAGGCAGGAGCTAGATAGCCTTGTCCATACCTCCATGCATGATGTGGGCTTTGGAACCAGAACTCTTGATTGGGAGTAGGGTTGCAATGGGGTGGAATATTTCTGGAAACTTTACAGAAACTTTCCATTCCATGGGAAGTTAGGCCGGGAAATTTTGGAAATATTCCAAGTTGGAAACTTTCCATAGGAATTAACAGGAATATATGGGAATTAATGGGAAAATTAACAGGCTGCAAAGGGGTGGAAATTTTCTGGAAACTTTACAGAAACTTTTCATCCCATGGGAAGTTAGGCTAGGGAATTTTGGAAATATTCTAAGTTGGAAACTTTCCATTGGAATTAACGGGAATATATGGAAATTAACGGGAAAATTCCCAGAATTTCGCAATCCTAATTGATAGTGTTTCCCATTTCAGAGCTCCCCATAGTGAAAAACTTTAGGTGGGTGTGGATAAACTCACAAATCTGAGGCTGAGGGCTGTGCAGCTGGAGTTCTTCCTTATCTAAAAGGGGCTTGCCACTGTGCAACTTTCACTGTTGTTTGTATCTGCCAGCTTTCTTAGAGACAGTGTGTATGGTGCTCGAACGAGTATACCCAATGGACTCTGTGGTCATACTGGGAGACTTCAGTGTACACGTGGAGAATGTCAGAGATACCTGAAGGGGAATGACTGGGAAGAATGGCCTCCTGAAGTATTATTGGACTTCAGTGCAAACAGTGGATTCTCCATAATAAACACCATATTTGAACACAAGGTGGCTAATTAGTGTACGCGATTGACTTTCTGGTTGTGCTGTCTGACATGAGGTCATTTGTTTTGAAAGGGGTAGATCTATTAACTGATCATGGACATTGATAAGTTGCTTGCGCAGGGGGTCTCTGAGACAGCTGGAAGGTACCTCAGCATCTGAAAGTCTGCAGAAATGACACAGAGGTTATATCTTGTCCATTGGGAGGAATTTCTAGAGGCTCTCAGGTGTTTTAGCAAGCTGGTTGATGACTCAGGAGGGGAGGTGGGACCTTGCTGGTTAGCCACAATTTCGTGTGGCAGAAGAAGTAGTTTGGGGACCTCCTTACCCTGGTGAAGCTGCCCTTTTACCAGCAGGCATTGTTGGAAACTTGGTGGATCAGAATCTATTTCTGCGGCTGAAGTCAGTATTGGTTTGCAACCACTGTAGTGCAAAGGTTTCAGGGGTGAATGAAATCCATCCAGAGATTTCAAAAGCAGTGAATATTGTTGGGATGACATGGTTGATGTGACTCTTTGAAGCTGCATGGTAGGCAGGTAACGTAACTTGATACTGGCAAATAGGGATGATGTTCCCTGTTTTTATTTTTTTTAAAGGGATGCTTCATCTATCTATAACGGTCTCACAGTTTCTAGCCTTCCTTCGAAAAGCCTATGCCCAGGCACAGGAGAACAGACTACCGGGTGATTGATCTTAGGATTCATGAGGAATACTGTGGAATCTGGCCTGGCTGTGGAACAGAATAGCTGTTCCCCTGTGTTTAGAGGTGTGAGGCTACAGTGCTACCCATGAAGTACTTATAAGGTATACAGGGTATAGTGAGCTCTGAAACAGATGCATCACATCCACCTGTCAGAACACCACCTATATATGCATTAAATGCTTATTTTTTATCATTTTATATTCTTAATGCTTCTGTGTAAGTTATTTTCATTTGGCTTTAATTTGCCTTTACCTTTAGTACTGTATATGATCTAATTTCAACTCTAAACTATTTGATCACTGAAACAAGTATTATATATAAGCATTATATTCATAAACCATCTTCCCCACTGACAGACATTCTGGCTGTGTGCACAAAGTTCCTTCATTTGGATCATTTCATGAAGGGCTATCTTCTCATGAAGGGCTATCTTCTCATGAAGGGCTATCTTATCATGAAGGGCTATCTTATCCTTTGAGTGTTGCCCTGAAAAAAGAAGAAGAGAAAAGGTGTTTGTCTTTCTCCTGCTTTTCACGCAGCAGGCTGTTAGGCATGTGTTTTTGTATATGTGTGCATGATCGTTTTTCTGTTTCTGAAGCGATGTTCCAGAAAGCATGAGATTATGTATTTTTTTTCTTTGTTTCCGTTTACAAACAGGATGTATTTTGGTATATCCATGTTTGTATTAGTTCACTGTTTATCAAAAGAATAAGTGGATGAAGCTGATTGGTGGGAGTGTGGCGTGCTTGTGATGGAGCGTTGATGGTAATGTGGTGGACATGTGGCTTCTGGTAGCAGGGCTGTGAAGCCTCCTCCCCCGCAGCCTCCTTCCCAGGCGCAGACAGAAGGCCAGGCACTGATGACTCATAGTTTGATTCTTATTGCAGTGTCTGCATCCAATACTGAAAAAAATGCTGTATTTTCTTCTGTCCATGAATCATCCAAGTCACAGCCTGGGTAATTCTGTAATAATTTATTTAAATTTTAATTGTAAGCTGAGACGATATTTTTCTCTCTCTGACTTCTCACATCTATACCCCCCTTTAATATAATTTATTGAGATGGTTATTCAATTGTTAGATGACTAACACGTGACATTTTCAGATATAAAACATGGAGATACCAGGTTAAAATGACATTATAGGGTAACTTTTTGGTCCCTTTTCCACATTGGTCTGCAGTTCAATGATAGGTTTGTCCAGCATTGGAGGAGTAATTTCAACCAATCAAATAGTCTATAATTAAAATAACCAAAGTAAGTCACCGTTTTCTTCCTGTGTGAATTACTCATGTATGTTCCAGTGTGTGCAGTTTCATTCAGTGTCCATTGTTGCTCATATTATTTTGAGACATATTCTGTAAAATGACTCTAGTCAGGAAATACCAGTTTTAATCAAGTAAGTTGAAGAAAATCTATGGTGTACACACAAAATATTAACACATCCATCAAATGTCTAAACGATTTCACCTCGATTTCAGATATCACAGTACCATTGACTGCGGTAAAATAATTGTATTTGGATGTATTCTTCAGGTTGTGCCTCTGTCTAATTTTCCATTGTTCTCTTCCCCATTATCCTTCATTTTGTCTTCGGCCTTATTCAAGCAAGACACCAGGACATCAGCATCACTCCCAAAGCTGGATCTCCACGTGATACCCGTATGGCGGAAAGCGATCACCGGAAAGGGGGTGGTCATCACTGTCTTGGATGATGGCCTGGAATGGAACCATACAGATATCTACCCCAACTATGTAAGACCCCCGATCTCCATGCACATTGTCATCGTTACTCTGTTATTGGCTTAGGTCACACACAGGGAGCATAGCCCAGAAGAACTGTAGGAAATTAGAGAATTTTACTAAATTTTCATTTCATCTCCAACTGGGTCACATATTAAATTGTAAAAAATTAAATAGCTTTTGCAATCTCAGATGACACAATTTTCAGCAGTAACCCTTAAAATAAAGTAGCAAGCCAGCTCTTTAGTTAATCCCATCCTATCCAAATGCACCTGTGAGCTCAGAAATACACAAATGGCAAATGACGTGACATGACATTTTGTGACAATATATGAACTGCTGCAGTGTTCTTGCATTATAGTATAATTTAGGCACTGTTTACAGTACTGCATTAAGATTTAAGGGATTCATTCATAGTATGAACAGTGGTAAGGAAAACTATGGATTATTATTGTTACTCGATACAGCTGTATCAGTAACAGAAAGTACTCAGAACTGAATCCATTAATAAATATGATCTAATGAACTGAGGCAGAGGAAGTCATTAATGATGTGATGTGGATGTCATGGGTGATACAGGCAAAATGTCATATCGTGATATTTTTGGTTAAAATCACGATCCACGATATACACCTATAAGCCAAAACATTATGACTAGCCCCCGCGAAACGATTAATGTTCACTATTTAGTAATAAAAAAAGAAAACATTCTGTACTCATAGAAGAAATGGGCAAGAATAAAGATTAGAGTGACTTTGACATGGGCCAGATCAGTGTGGCCAGATCAGTGTGGCCAGATCAGTGTGGCCAGATCAGTGTGGCCAGATCAGTGTGGCCAGATCAGTGTGGCCAGATCAGTGTGGCCAGATGACTGGGTCAGAGCGTCTCCTGTTGGCGGTTCCTGGTTTTTCCCTCCTCCTTTTCCAGACAAAGCAGAACCTTCCTCAACAGCCATGCTGCACACTGTTTTTTGCCAAGTTAGTTGACTGGTTAGATAAGTTCAAGTAAGTTTTTAGTTCAAGATCCAGTCATTAAGCTAAGATCCACTGAGACATATAATTGACAAAGAAATGAGATATACATCCATTATTTAGATGTTATGCAACCATTCTGAAACACTTATCGTGGATACAAATGCAACCGGTCGCAATAAGTCACCTTCATATCACCCACCACTAATGTACACAGTGTAAACTTAGCAGCTTTCATTCTCTGTTTGAGCTTGTTTCATGTCCACGCTGTTCATGGATTAATGCTGTAGGATTTGTATGACTCATGAGCCAATAAGCAAGATTTATGTGGTTTATTACTTACTGTTATACATTCACTGTATATGGTTAATTGAACTGCTGGTATTTCTAATTCCAAACAGGATGTTTTTCTGGGAAATGACATCACAGGATGGTTCCATAAGTGGCATATAGTCACTAATGTTATCAGAAAGCAATATACACCAGCTTACACTAATGTTCTGTTAGATAAACAGAGCAAAATTAAAAAGTTATGAATTTTGAGATCCATTTCTTATACTCGGTTTGTTTTGTACAGTATCCTTCCCCATATTCCCTCCCTGTTTCAGACTGGGATTGCATGTCCATAGCACAACCAGAGGTGCACATCATAGCTGATGATCTGCTGTCCTTTGTTCTTGTGTAGGACCCGGAAGCCAGTTACGATTTTAATGACAATGACCCTGACCCTTTCCCCAGATACGACTCCACTAATGAGAACAAGTAAGTCGCTGATAGTGATACGTAAATGTTCTGTGTAGCAGTATGCCTTAGTTAACTGAGGCGTGTTGGTACTTAGATACGTAAATGTTCTGTGTAGCAGTATGCCTTAGTTAACTGAGGCGTGTTGGTACTTAGGAAAACACCCATATTTCATTGATTAACTTCGGCAATAATCGAACCCATGCTTCACTGAGACAATTTAATGAATTTCTATCCTGGGTTTCTCTCCAGCTCGGCTTTCCTGTTATCAGATTACCTTGTGTTATCTAAGTCATTTCAAATGAATCAAACTTAACTTTGCGCACCATCCATGAAATAAATTACCTGCCGTATTTTTGATTTCTGAAAAATAAAAAACAGTACATTTAGAGTTTAGTTTCTTTTAGGGGTTGTTAGACGCATTGATGCCTCATGATGAATCAGTTATTAAGGTGGCAGTTCACCTGTACTGATCTATAGCGTCAGAATCGATTTTTGAGAGCAAAATCCTCCATAAAGATAAAGATACTGGGCTGCAGCTTCTCGCAATCATGTGCTGCAGCTGCAGGTAGATATGCAAGGTAGCAGCACCAGCACAAATTTACAAAACGTAGGATGACGGGACGGTTCTTTAATATTCATAAACGAAGCGCTGCCTGATGATCTTTGCATAACAACACTTTTGGGAATCTCAGCCCTGTTTCTTAGTGCAGAACATTATCTCTAAGTACAATGCTTTGGGGAAACGCCCCTCTTTTGTAGCGCAAACAAATGTTGTCCTTTTTGCTAGCTACAGTGCCAGTGGTCTCTGGAGTTATCTAAATAGCTAGCTACGTAAAAAGTAATGTTAGATTTACAGTTGACGTTAGACTTAAGTGAGATGCACGCATTGAACAATCAACCGTTTTCCAGACTGGAGGATGAAGTATTTCGTCAGCTCATTCACCACTTAGAATAGGTCTCAAAGTACCAGCCCTGACACGTTTATAATTCATTATTATATCTGGCCCATAGATCGACCCTTTGTTTTCCACAAAATGTTTCTCTGTACAATTCAGTAGTTGGCCTTTTCACAATTTTCACTGGCCTGTTCTCCCTTTTAATAATAACAATAAAGATTAATGTTCCGAGATTGTACGAGATTACTTACTATTCCATGTAATTAAGTTCCCATGGTAATATTTGTGATGATTTGTCAGTGAAGTTAAAAAAGGTTTGAATTTAGGTTATTGATTAGTTTAATCGATTTGTGATAGAAATGAAAGATTCCCGATAAATTGAATCGTTCCCTCAGTATCTGCAACAGAATTGAATCACCTTGCACCCAACAATTTACACCCTTAGTGAATCTTGTATGAGCTAGCCTCTTTGTGCCAAAAAAAAATGCAGATTTATCACAATAAGACTTTCTTCTGGTTTACATATTGAGATTTTTTTTTCTCCAGCAGAAGTGTTTTTAAGCAATGTGCCACATTTTCCACAACATCAATGGGAATTATAAGGGGCACTTTAAAACTGAAGTGTGAGGCAAACAAACTGAATGTAAAGACAACACCATACATACAGTGCACATTGTACTATATGTTCATGGAGCTTGTATTACTGTCAGGCAAAATGATGGCGCCATTTCTCTTTGTAGTAGTCTTGATACAACAGGTTATTCATATGTTAAGTCTGATGAGAGTGTGCCTCTCCTTTGGGTACCAGGCATGGAACAAGGTGTGCTGGTGAAATTGCGATGCAGGCCGACAACAAGAAGTGTGGAGTTGGGGTGGCTTACAACTCCAAGGTCGGAGGTAGGAGGTCTAGAATGTTCTTTTCTCTTATAATTATCATTCTCCTTTTCCAGAAATAATTTTGTACAAATAGTACTTACATTGTACCTTAAGGTGGGTGGTGCTGATTGTATTCAAACTATTCTAAATAATTTACAGGCTTTTATTTATTTGTCTGGTTGTTTGGTGATTTGCTTGGTTTTTCTGCTACAGTTGGTCACCTGCACTCAGAAAGTTGCGCAATTCATGCTGCTCATTTAAATAAAAACTTTATGAATTGAAAATTAAAGTTAAACTAAATTCATTATTTAGCAGTTTTGCTTATCCAGGAAAAAGAAGTGCTACAACAGTCCTTAAAAACAAGGATTGAATATTGAGATTTCTAAACAAATAGTTTCATTTTTCATTTTAGCTTCAGTTATTAATTGGAAATACAATGGGTTATACCCTTAGTTTCTATGCGAGATTAGCACCAGTATAATGAATAGAATTATTTAAGGCTGAAAATAACTTGAACAATAGTGATAATGATATTCAACTTCTAGAAGGATCTGCAGTGAAATAAAAGGAAAAAACAAACCAGTTCTATAAATTGATTCATTTGTACATGTCTTTAGATCAGATGGTAATATATATAACAAAATATCAGTAATATAAAGCGTGCCTTATTTACATGCTGTAAATATACCTGCATTATCTACTTCCAGGGGATGGGTTGCTTTTTTTTATTAAAAAACAAAGTCTGATGTAAAAATCTACTGCATGCAGAAGGCTCCAATCTAAAAGAAACGGCTGGCTTAGCTAATTATCTTCTAGCATTTTTATTACATATTATTTTCTTTGTTTCATTCCATTTTTCTATAGTAGACATTCTGTAGTTGCCCACTTTTACACTTTCACATGCATTACGATATACATGTTACATCGTATTAGAAGTATCAGATATCTTTATTGTTGATCACTGAATGTTTACCCTGTTCTGTGCTCCTGGATATTTGTTCTCTTGGATCTTTGCGTACCTCACTCAGTGGTATAGCAGAGGTGTCCTTCTATGATCTAAGCAACCTCCTCCATGGGTATGTGCCATTAACCCCGCCCTCTACGGATATCCCTCCAATAGGGATCCGCATGTTGGATGGCATAGTGACGGATGCCATTGAGGCCAGCTCCATTGGCTTCCGACCTGATCATGTGGACATCTACAGTGCCAGCTGGGGCCCCAACGATGACGGCAAAACAGTGGAGGGGCCGGGGCGCCTTGCACAGAAGGCCTTCGAGTACGGCATCCAGAATGTACGTAGCTAAGGAGAACAGTACGGCATCCAGAATGTACGTAGCTAAGGAGAACAGTGTGGCATCCAGAATGTACGTAGCTAAGGAGAACAGTGTGGCATCCAGAATGTACGTAGCTAAGGAGAACAGTGTGGCATCCAGAATGTACGTATGCTGGTATCGTGTGTTTTATCATTTATGTAATAATGGGACACTTTGGATCTACAGGGCCGCGGTGGGAAGGGCTCCATCTTTGTGTGGGCGTCAGGAAACGGGGGCAGACAGGGGGATAACTGCGACTGCGATGGCTACACAGACAGCATCTACACCATCTCCATCAGCAGTGCCTCGCAGCAGGGCCTGTCTCCCTGGTACGCTGAGAAGTGTTCTTCCACCCTGGCCACAGCCTACAGCAGCGGAGATTACACCGACCAGAGAATCGTACGTCAACCAATCTACTTCCCTTTTCATCACAACCTCTTCAATTGATTATTTGTGCAGATGATCCTTTGCACTGTTTTTTACCAGACAACGCAGAGGTTATTCCTGTATGTTACATGCCTGTCTGTGCTGCAGTTCACCTGTAAGATCTCGTCCTCTGTCATGCAGACCAGCGCTGACCTGCACAACGAGTGCACTGAAACGCACACCGGGACCTCTGCTTCTGCTCCACTGGCTGCTGGGATTTTCGCCCTGGCGCTGGAGCAGAAGTGAGTGATGGCTTTGTGGCTCATGTATTAATACATCATCAAAGATCCAACCAGATGTCATTACCAGTGCAACAGTCAGCACAACGGAAATTGACACACAAACATTTGCACAAAAGATTATCTGCAAGACAGTTACGTTCTTCCTGCAGTGTTAATGTAATGTTTCCAGGTCCACATTCTGCATCACTGTGCACATAAATGGAAAATGCATGGCTGGCTGTATGTATGTGGGCATATTCAGCTCACAAAGACCAACAGTAGTATGCATTCATTATGTTTACATGAGCAAGTAACACACAACGTTACTGGGAAGCCATCTTGTGCCCTATACTTTGTGTTAATGCCAAGCTTATTATCTGCCAACAGCCCCAATCTCACCTGGAGGGACCTGCAACACCTGGTTGTTTGGACATCAGAGTTTGACCCTTTGGCTAACAACCCGGGCTGGAAGAAGAATGGTGCTGGACTGATGGTGAACAGCCGGTTTGGCTTCGGGCTCCTGAACGCCAAGGCACTTGTGGACTTGGCAGATCCTAAATCATGGAAGCATGTCCCGCAGAAGAAGCAGTGCATTGTGAAGGATGACGACTTTCAGCCAAGGTGAGACCGCAAAACTCTAATGTCACTGGCTGTCACATACATAGCTATCATGGTGGTTTATCGGCATTCATCTGTTTCTGTAACCCTGTGTGTCCTAAAGCTGATCTATACTCCTGCATAGAATCTACGCTGTAAGTAGCCACATACCCACGTACTCAGGTACCCACATACCCACGTAGCCAGGTACCCACATACCCACGTAGCCAGGTACCCACATAGCCAGGTACCCACATACCCACGTAGCCAGGTACCCACATACCCACGTAGCCAGGTACCCACATACCCATGTAGCCAGGTACCCACGTAGCCAGGTACCCACATACCCACGTAGCCAGGTACCC